TTTGAATAGATATGTGGACAGAGACATTTGGAAGGTTTTGATGGAAATGTGTCAGCATGGATGGCTGTGATAGGATCTGAAAGAGTCTTTTATACTGGGGAAATTGTTATGGTTACAATTTGATACAGGAATTGGCAAATAATTTTTTTTAAAGAGAGAGAAAGATTTATTTGGTATTTGTCAGGCAAAAGAGCAACTGGATATATTTCATAAGACTTGCCAGCCATGGACTTGGTAGATCCACACAAATATGTGAAAGAATGCTCACATTTATGTCTATGGACAGTTATGTTTAATTTCCCTGGTTGCTGAATCTATTAATTAATTTATTTTAATTACTTCTCTTAGCATTAGGCACCTGTACAAATACTGAAATAATAGCAAAAGGATCAATATCCTTAACAAAAGGCTTTGTGGCATGAGCTATCTGACCGCACTATTCAATCAGTATCACATATGTGAAATAGAACATTTAACCATCAAGAGTCCCTCATAAGTAATCAAATAAGCCACCAAAAATCCTTTACCCTTTCGAGAGAATAACAGAGATCTTCAGCAGGCACATACGGTCAACAAATCTTAGCTCTGGTGGATCAAGAGAGGAAACAAATATGTTTGAGACTTATGGACCTGACACAGAAAATGCCTGGCTAGCAGCCACTACCTTTTAAGCCATGAGCTGCTAGTTAGATACCTCCACTGACTTAGGGTATGTCCAGACTACCTGCCGTATCGGCGGGTAGCGATCGATTTATCGGGGATCGATATATCGTGTCTCGTTAAGACGCGATATATTGATCCCCGAACGCGCTCCCCATCAACTCCAGAACTCCACCGGAGCGAGCGGCGGTAGCGGAGTCGATGGGGGAGCCGCAGCTGTTGATCCCGCACCGTGAGGACGGGAGGTAAGTCGGAATAAGATATGTCGACATCAGCTATAGTATTCCCGTATCTTACATCCCCCCCAGTGTAGACCAGGTCTTAGGCCGCTGGATTACTCCTCTTTTATTTTTAATGATAACAACTGAAAGATATTACATCGACACAAGACACAGACAAGTGATGTCAATTTTGGACATATACTAGTGCAATGTCTGTGATTTATAAAGTTCTGTACCAGGTAAATCATGAATGGTAACATTTTAGGGATGGTGGTATCAGGATATCCTAGGTGAATTTGGCTTTTGTTCTGTCTGAAACAATGAGTTATTAAAAGAACAAAAATGAGGCAAATTTTAAAGCATTTCACATTTTCCCAGACTTGAAGCCTCTGGGCAGTTTACCAAATGATAATTCAAAAGTTCAAATAGTCGCACACATCTGATAACAATAGTCCAATCTGTGAGGCTTATTATATTATTCAAATAAAGTAAATTGAAAGGAATTTGGAATGCCTAGTGAAGCCTCTGCAATTCTCTTGGGATAACAATTCAACAATACTTGTTCTAAAGGGGTTAAGAGAAAGGATGGGGCAATCCCAGTGGAACTCTGATTGCTATCCCAAAGTGAACAGCTCAAAGCAGGTTGAGGCCAGAGTGAACTATCTTCACTGGTACCTGGTACAGCATGTTGGCAGACAAGTCTGAACTAACTGCTGCGGATGGAATGAAGCCCTTACAATAGGGGTTCTTATCACAGACGGACAAACAGGTGGGACAGTGTATTTTTCCCAGAGGTGAACACTTCTTTATCTCCTGTGATGTCTCTGAAAAAGGCAGGCTGAAATCAGCTCAGCAGAGGACAGAAAGACTGGAATGCAGACAAAGATCATGAATTCAAAGGGGAAGAAAGATTCACTCCTCTATAAAAAAAAATGATTACTCAGATCTGTGGAATCTAGAGGAATCAATGGGGCAAATGGGAGGAATGACATGCCCTTAATGCACCCTTCCTGGTGGTAGTCAGTGCATGGAGTGCAGACATTTGTGCAGTAAGTCTTTCTGAATAACCCATTTTGTGGTACTTCTAGAGAAAATTATATTCTTTTTTTAATTTGGTAGCGGCTCACTTTTTTTCACAAGCAAGTCGGCATTGACTTCACTGAAACTACAGTACTGTACCCCAGCTAAAGATCTGTCCCCATATGGATAGTGACATAGTGGGCCCAAGCCACGCTATATTGATTGATGAAGGGCATTATGCTATTCTTAATTATATGGATTTTGCTTTAAAAGCAATGTATATAGAATATTGTTTATTAAATCACATTTATCCGTGAACAATATACGGTGGTTTTTCAGGCTGGAAAATGAGATCATCTAAAGAATAAGGAAATAGTCAAGTTGTTAGAGTAATGGGGATCGCTGTCTCTGCTCATTTGCAGTAGATGTCATGGAAGTGGCTTTATTTGTTGGATGTATTGATAACATAGTCCTACATTTTTCCTATGTGGGGCCAATGATTATCAGACATGCAGTTCTGAGCACCCACATGAGAAAACCTGAATCAGCAGTAAGGAACAACTAAAAATTGAAGAGCAGAAATATTACTAGTATCAGCCCAAGTACTGGTGTTTTTCTAGTGAAACATTTTGGGATTAGGATATCACTAATCTAAGGGTTTAAACCCCACACCTCTCCTACTCTTCTGGGTCAATCTTAACCCTACAGTATAGCCTCTTCAAGCTCTCTTGGCAACATCACATATTCATTCCTCGTAGGGTTACCACTTGTATTGTATTCAGTCTCTTCCAAAACCTTCAGACTTTCCCATTTTGAAACCAATGCCATCACAAAGTCTGCATGAGCTTCAGCTCATTTCCAAATTTTGGATTGAGAAACAATTACACTCTGATCTTTTATTGTTACCTACAGCTTATGTCCCAAGCTTATCCTGACAGAAGTATAATGCAAATACAGGTATTACACACAGATGTGTGAACTACATGGCTATTGTATACATTCACAAGGGATTCAGGTGACAACCTAGTAACCACAAGAGTGAAAGTGCATAGTTATGCCATCACAATCTGGAGCTGTGTATGTAGCTTAAGTGTTTGACATTTCCTTGTGTTGCATACTAGTGCAGATTTAGGCTGGGGCAGTGGTGCCCAATGTGGGGTTCCACGGAACGCTGGGGGTCTGCTATGGGTTATGGAGGTGTTCATTCCTTCAGCCTGGGCCACACTGACTTTCAGTGGGAGCTGGGTGTCTCATTTCTTAGGCCTCACTGGAAGTTTCTGTCTAAACATTATTTTGAATCCTTAAATTAGTGCCATTACCCTTTGCTTCATCGTATGGTTATTTATCTTTTATATTACCATAGTGCTTGTGAGCCCTAGTCCTAGACCAGGCTCCCATTGTGCTAGGCTCTGTACAAACAGACTTTCCTCCTTCATTCCAGATGCTGGAAACCTGTCATCCATTTAGGAAGAATCCATCTCAAATCCAGACTCATTTGGGATTTTATTGTTATCACTATTCTGCCACCCCCACAAAAAACAAAATCAACCTAGACCTAGACCTTGGTCACTTCTGCGCTGCAGTTGGCCTTATAGTTCTCCTCCTATTCTAACTGCACCATTCTTTTTTCATTTAGTAACAAATGGAAGATTTCCAGAGTTCTCATGAAAGAAAGAGGAATACTGTAATGTTACTGCATGTTATCTTCATTTTTCCTCCCCCAGCACGCTAGCCATGAACTGAAAGCGTAGCCTTCCTAGGAACACAACCAAGTGAAACACCACTAACCAAGCTGTATGTGAAAGAGATTTACGGTGTCTTTTGCCTCCACATCGGCTTGTCAAACGCTTTGGGCCAGACTGCGAGCCTCTTACTCAGAGTGGTGAACAGAATGGGGCAACTTGTGTAAGTAACTACTCATTAGTGACAGAAAAGGGTTCAAAACCTGGCCCTTTGAGAATAATCCACAAATATCTGTAATGCCACTAGCAAAGATTCATTAGTCTATCTTTAAAAACAAAAGAGGAACTTTTTTCGCTGAGCTAACACTGAGCATTCAGCTGGCAATAATGCAAACCAAACATGCCCACGTTGCAACTTCTTTTTCAGTTATGTCCAGCTCAAATTGTAATGCTTATTTAACTTTACACAGATTCCTAATATTTGTGAAGTGCTTAAAAATAAAGTTTGGTTTTTACTGTCAGAAAGCACTAAGAGTGCATAATAAATACCATTTAAAATGCAAGAACATGTACACGGTTGTCTGCCTACGAACTGCATGTAAACAAGCTTTCAGGGAGAATACGCTTCTGGAGCTCTGCATATATGCCATCCATGGCCGTTCCATCACCACCAGAAGACTATCTGGAAGATTGTTTGGATAGATACAGTTATATTACTTACCACTCATCAGTGGGTTTGATAGAGAAGTTGCATGCGACTGTCCTTCCACTCCCTGGTATTTACTGGCATTTCCCTTTGCTCCTGCACCATCCATTGCACACTGGGCAGTCAAATTTCTGTTATTTCACTTCTCAGTTGGTCTTGAGAGTTCAAATTCCATCCTCCCTGATGAAAATCCTAGTTATGCAAGTAATTTATTAAGCAGACTCCGTGTGTGCAAGTCAAGCAGACTTCGCAGCAGACTGGAACTTGGTGCCAGCAGCAGTTTCAGAGTAACTCGAGTACCTGTGTGCAGATTTAATGAAACACCTCCTCATTCACTTGGTGTGCAGCCAGAGATCAGACAGACCACACTGTATAAAGCGAGGGATGTGGCTGATGTCATATCCTTTCAAAAGCCACACCCAATCAGCAAGGCTGCCTTCTGTTTTTATCAGGAAGAAACTTCTTAGTTTGACAAAAAAACAAGACAGAGCCAGCTCAACTAGTTGAGCAAACTCTGCCTTTAGGGATCTGAAAAGGCAACTCAGAGAGATAACTGTGCTCAAAGCTTTGCCTTCAAGAGAAGGATCAAATTAAGTTGTTTTGAGACAACACCCTTTTCCTATATTTACTGTGCCTCCCGTATTCAAAAACTGACTTCTAAAAAGCTCATGACTGCATGCAAAAAATGGTGTACTGAATTCCTTTTACACAGCAGCAGTCACCACATACCATAATAATATTGAAACCACATGTTCACAGAGCTGTGCTTTCCACTGGAAGTACTTTATTGTCTCCATGGCATGAAAAGCACAGCATTATGCAGGCTTATTTCCCTCCGTCCATTTCAATCAACTTCACTGAGTCGTCATAGTTGAACCAATACTATATATAAAATCTGCTTTTTCAACTGAAACAAAACTAATTAACCTACAGGCAAGTAAACAGGGTCCGATTTTCAAACTGGCTTCATCCTCATCTCTATTGGTATGGGTGCAACTTTGCTATGTGCAGGTCATTTCAACATGCACATTTTTGTGCACATAAATAATTTACAGGTACAAAACCCACTTGCTCTTATCGCATATACACATTAGCACGGGTGCACAAGTAAGGATGCAAGAACTGCATTTGTAAGTGATTGCCTGTACAAAGTTGCATGCATGCACACAGAAGTTACATTCTTTAAAGGTGGCCACAAATCTGCCCAACAACTGAGTAATTTGACTTCATTTTATTTCTATTTATAGTACATAAAAAGGCACCTGTGCTAGCTTCTAGGTACCTTTGACTGCAAATACATTCATATTAAGCATATAACTGCACAGTTAACCTGGAGACTGACCTGGGTTTTACCTCAAGACCCCCTGCCTCTGACCTGGGTTTGGAGGTGCTTTAAGCCCGGGGTAGCTTACACGGCTCAGGGGTGGGTTAGAACCCAAGCGCCTCTTTCATTCGGCCTGGAACCTGACCACTCTGCAGTGGGAATGGAGGTAAAAATCAGTCGAGTGCTCATAGTCCTCCAATGCCATCCCACAATTCCCCCCCAGAGAACAGACAAGTTCTCCTGCAATTTACACAATTGACTAGGAACAAATCCTATAGTATCTCATCACAAAGAACCATAGAATATGCCTCAGGATACTCATTGGCGAGTGCAGAAACAGTGAGAATGCAGGTTTCAGAGTAGCAGCCGTGTTAGTCTGTATCCGCAAAAAGAAGAACAGGAGTACTTGTGGCACCTTAGAGACTAACAAATTTATTAGAATGCAGTAACACAGGAGGGATTTGCTGCGGGGCCTGTCACACCTGGGCTTGGTTAGCCCAGGTGCTGATTTCTCAGGATGACTGTGCAGTGCAGACATAGCCTAAGGGCTTGTCTATACTACTGCTTAAGTCGATGTAACTTACATTGCTCCGGGGTGTGAAAAAAGCCACTCCCCTAAGTGATGTAAATTACATCAACTTAAAGTGCTGTCTACACCGCGCTATGTTGGCGGGAGACACTCTCCCACCGACATAGCTTCCGCCTCTCATTGAGGTGGAGTAATTACATCAATGGGAGAGTGCTCTCCCATCAACATAGCATGTCTTCACCAGATCCGTTACTGCCGCGTCAATGTAGCATGATAGTGAAGACAAGCCCTAAAAGATCCACCTGGCAGCGGCTCCTCACGAAGAGGGCCTTGCACAAGCCATGGATGACTACATTACCCAAAACCATCGTTCTACCAAACACAGAATAAGGCATTTTCAAGCAAGCAAAGAACCCTCACTCCTCCCCATTGCCAAAGGGCAATTTTCAACAGTTAACTATTTATTATTAATCATGTTTATTACTGGTGCCTAAGGGCCACCAAAGGATGAGGCCCCATATTGCTAGACATTGTACAAACACAGATACAGGCACAAATTGCTGTGTTGTTTTTGTACACAATTTGAACTGGATGTCTAAACAGATATCGAGAACAAGGAATACAGTTTTGCAGCCTTTACTCACTGCAATAGTCAAAAAAAATAACAGGGGCCTAAATATTTTCTCGTTTCTTCTTTCTTGCTGCCTCTGGATCTCCTTACACAGATTCTAATCATGTTCCTGTGAGTATTCTCCACCCCACGTCCTCAGCCTCCATGGTGTCTCAGCATTACCCCTTTCCAGTACATGATGTTTGTTAACTGCATGCATTCCCCTCTGAAAGATGGCTCTGTTTGCATAGGTCTCACTTCACAGCAATTTTATCTATCAAGTACATTAGCAAGACTGATACAGTAAATTATGTACTAACATAAGAGGTCTAGTTTTACAACATTAAATATTGTAGCCTGAATTTGGGAGCTGAGGGACAGTGGATAGAAAAGATGAATAAAAAACAACTTAGATTATACAACAAAAGGCAAACAAAAAAGTTTCTTTGCACAGAGCCTGTCTCTTCACTATCAACACCTTCCCACCCCAAGAGCTATAAGTGACCAGCAAATTGGGGTGTGGATTACCTGAGATCACCACAGTAAGGTGTGTGTCTATCTTCCTGACAGTATTAAAGCAGTATTAAGGGACAGCTGACTTTGTACATGGGGGGGCCAGATACTGTGTAATTGCCCACAGTAAATATATAACCCACGGGGGCAAGTCAGGGTGGTTGTATTTGATAAGTACATACATAGCTGAGTCCAGCAGAAGGAAAAGAAACACAAGCTACAGAACTAAAGTTCTTTTTTCCCCAAGCAGTAGCATCAGACTAATACAAGCCAAGGTTTAGGCAATTGGGCAGAGTCCACCCCAAGGGTATGTCTACAATGCAATTGGTGGTTGCAACTTGGGTAGACATACCCACGCTAGCTAGCTTTCATCCTGAAGGGTCCTAAAGTTTTATATCAATTTGGCTATATGCAGAAATCACCTCCACCACCACCCAACAACAGGCATCCCTATATAAACACAGCAGCTGCTCAACAGTGCACAGTAAAGTTGGAACAAATAGGTAGCAAATAATAATTTATTCAATGAATTTTCCTTCTTTTTCTGTTCAGAGAATATCCACAAGCCAATCAATTTTTTTCCCAAATTTATTAATTATTCCAAACTAATCAATGATTTTTTTCACTAATTCCATTTACTGTCTCCCTGGCTATTCAGTAATTGAAATCTGAGCTCTGTGTGCTAGTTGCTGTTGGTCAGAGAAGACACATAAAGTAGAACCTCTGAGTTACGAACACCTTGGGAATGGAGCTTGTTCAGAACTCTGAAATGATTGTAACTCTGAACAAAACGTTATGGTTGTTCTTGCAAAAGTTTACAACTGAACACTGACTTAATTGACTTTGAAACTTTACTATGCGGAAGAAAAATGCTGCTTTACCTTTATTTATTTATTACTTTTAACACAGTTCTGGGCTTTTTTGTTTTTGTTTTTTTGTTTGGCTCTGCTGCTGCCTGATGGCGTACTTCCAGTTCCAAAAGAGGTGTGTGGGGTTGACTGGTCAGCTCGTAACTCTGGTGTTCGTAACTCTAAGGTTCTACTGTAGTTTTATTTCAGTTTCCTGATTGGATGTGCATAACACTGATTATCAGGTTTCTGGTACAAATGTTTGCAGCAAGAGAATTCAAAATTCACTTTTGATGAATATTTCAAGCATGCAAGACCAAAATTTGACATGTCCAAGTATATATATGGTCACAAAGAGTGGTGTGAACATGGCTGAAATTCATAGTTCAGGCTGAATGAATATTTATGACAATATTTTTGTATCATTCACCCATTCTGTGATATCTAATGCACAGCAATACTATGAAACAGTCTCCAACAGAAAGGGAGGAAGAACTTCATATGAAGGGATAATTTAAACAAGCAGAATGCAGTTGCCCAACTTAGAATTTGACCAGCACATAAGGGCCATCACTCCTGTAAAAACTGTCATGGAATCTTTAATAACTACATATACTCAGCATGGTGGTTTTGAACCAATAGCACAGGCTCTCTAAATACTAGGCTGGGGCACTGGTCCAACACTGACGCAGAGGGGAAAAAAATGCCATGTACTGAAATCATCAATGCCACCTTCCTGCAGTACGTGTTTTCCTCTGCAGGCTCCCAACAAAACGGTGAGCAGGCTCTGCCCTTCTTAAGAGGTTCAGAATCTTGTCAGATCTCATAGGGACAAAAAGGCCTTATCCCCTAGTTGTCCTTAGCCACCAATAAAATCTCTTTCTTGGTTGCTCTTGTTTTTAAATACCATCCTACGCTGTCTGTTCCTCTGAAGCACCAGCAGCAGCTCCCCCTCACTCTCATGCTCACAGAAACTTCCCTCTGTAAACATCCTCTCTTCCTATGAGAGCTTACGTCCACTGTGCTCTAACTGGGGGAGCGAACAGAAGTCTGTAGCCAGTTACTGTTTGCCCTACACAGGTTTGTTGCTTTCAGGGAAGGAGAATCTCAGTTTAAACCAAAAAAGAGCTAACGTCACTTAATTAGAACCAAATCCTGACTCTAGGGAAGTCAATAGAAAACACCCTTTGAGTTCAAAGGGACCTAGATCTGTGCCTTAAAGTTCTTTGCATAGAAGCTACAGTTTCTCCAGTCAGCAAGATGCAGGTAGCATGAGATCTTCACACTAAACATTGCAACATTTTTTGTGGCAATTGTGCAATTATTGTGCATCCCCACTGCATAGAGGGGGTTCGCATTTCACCATTTGATGCCAAATCCTTCTCAATTTATTAACCTGGCTGGCCTCACTGGAGTCCTTAATTTTCAATCTACACAGGATCCCTATCACTAAGATGTGGGGAAGAATTGTTTTCCCTCTCAGGATCGGGAAGGCACCCAATAAAAAAAAATCACATAAAGAAACTGCCACACTAGAGCCTCTAACAGTGAGAAGTTCTGTAATTACTTTGATTAGTGTTCAGCTACAGAGAATACTCCCAAATCACAGCCTCTCCTGAAACACACTCAGATCTGAACACTTGTATTCATGAGCTGATAAAAGCCACAACAATAAAATAAACCTTTTTTGTTTGTTTGATATGAAGAGTGTGTTTGCAATATGCTGATTTTTAGGCTTTGAAGCTTCTTCAGGTTCATGAACCAAACCTGAGAGTCTCCCCCCACCCAAGGTCCACTTTTTTCATCCTGTGAACTCAACTGGCTCTTAGGATATGTCTACACT